AACAGTGCAGAGCAGTCTGTTGGTCTGGGGCTGCAGAACATTCTGACCACCAGGGTGATCAGGGGGTCAGAATGTTATGGCTGATCGGTGTATACTTTAGTGATGATTGGAGCCTTACACATTTAAAAAAAATTATATGAATTTTCAACCAGATTATGCACACTGCAAATATTTTATTTCCTCACTTGGAGAAAAAAGTTGCAGCACTACACTTATGACTAATGCTGAAACATTTGATTCATGGAAAAACTCCAAAATGTCAATTGTTTCAGCCTCTCAATTTTCTTGCTTTTCTTTGCCTTCTTTAAAAGTAAACTTAACTGACTTACTAGTTTCTATATCACTAGTTTACAGACAAAAAGATTAAACCCTTACTTGGTAATTAACAGTGACATGCTTCTTTCAATGCATGGGCTAATATTAGACATGAGCTTAGGAATCCAAAGATGAGTGTGAATTTTCACAAAGCATCTTCCTAAAATAACGACTTGAGCACCTTCAGCACTTAGCAAAAATGTTTTCTTGTTATTCGTTGCCTGTTAAGAAACGTCAGGAAAAAAAAGTATATTTAGCAGCTCACATCCAGATATAGGCCTATGTACAGAGCGATCCACTGAATGTCTATTTTTTGAGCCAAGCTATTACCGCAGCGTGTTGGTGTCGTCACACTGGGACGACCTGTGATCCTCTGCTGGATTTCTGCACAATCATAAAAGCATTTCTTTGTTGAATATGTTTACGTGTTACTCATCACACTTATCTGTCCACAGCATGTGTTCTCCCCGGCTCCTGCCTCATTCTGAATGCATTACACCAAAAAACATTCATCCCGTCAAACAGTACACCTGTACACCCAGATACACTTCACTGATTCTCTTCTATCCCCACTGCCCTATTTACATTCCCTCCACTGCTCATCTGCTGAGGAGGGAAAACAAACTGCTGGAAGGCCTGCAGCCCAGAATGATTTAAGTGTTGTGTGTTTCTGTTGGCAAACATCAAAACACACAAGATCATTGCGGAGCATTGTTTGACATCAATCTCACAAATTGTATTTGTCTTGTGGTCAGGTTGATCCATCAGTGTTTCCTACCTGGTGGATAGTTTGGACCATTTGCAATATCTGTTTTTGATCATCTGCAATATCTGGGAGACATTTCATTTTACTGAATGCATTACAATAACTGTTACAACAATAACTGTTACAGAAATTTACTTAACTTAATACATCATGTTAGCTTTAACATGGCCCCTTAACATGAGGCAGCTTTCCATCCATTTAGCGCCTATTTTAACCAACTTTCCAGATAATTAGCAAACAAGCTAAGTAATGTGCGTACTGACTTGTGTTATGCAAATATGAGGAGTTAAGTGCATCAAGATAAACAGTTGGTAAATGGCAATTCTCCAGTCAGCTGCCATTAAATCACTGCAGGAGAAGACGCCACAATGACATGAGGTAATGAGTCAAAACATCTCAAAGCTTAAATGGTGAAAACAATGTAGAAAACATGAGGTAAATATGCCATTTCTGTTTGTTTTATCCATCAATTTGAGGAGTGTTACAGTGTAAGAGCTCTGAGGATTTTGTTTGTGGTTTAGCTTCAGCAGATGTTGGAGTGACATGCTTCATGTACATCATGATTAATGAGTTTGTTTCCACTGTATTTTGTCACATCTTCCTTTGATCAATACACTAATACACTCTGCCAAGCAATTTTTTTTCTTGCATCATTTTCAAGGTTTTTGTTATAGAATTTTAAGCATTGTTTCTTATGCACAAATTGAAAATGCACGTGTATTTGAAGGGGATAAATGTACATTAGCTATAGCCACTTATCCTGTTGCTGCAGTTAACCTAACTTGCTCGTCCCTGGAAGCAAACTCTAAACAAAAAGGCCAAAGCCAAACAGCTGGTTTGAATCTGGCTGTGCTGTTGCTGTAAGGCAACAGTGCTAAACAATGGACCACCGTGCCACCCAGTGTTTATATACAAATGTTAATTTCCATTTATCTTTTAACAAAAGCCAACCATCTTCGAATTTAGTGCTTAAAGACATCCAAGTTGAAATAATGAGTGCATTGTGCCAACATGGTTTGAATGCAGCCTAGGATGCATTGGAGGTGTCCATCTATAACTCTGCTTTGCACATACGTCCGTCCTCAACTTTCTGACAGCTTTTTCATGTTTCAGGAAGAGTTTGACCTCAGAGGAACAAATTACCTTCATTTGTATCTGCAGCATCTGTAGGAGACTTGGAGGAAACCTCGGCTCAACCCCCTCCGAGTCTAAATCAATAACAGCAATGATGTGGAAAAGAAATTAAAGTGAGTGTCCTTGTTATGTTATGAGGAAGGTTATCTTAATCAGAGACTGTTGGGGTGGCTGTGGAAAGACTAAGTGTGTCAGCAGTTTCAGGAAGGTAAACATGACACTCAACGTCTAAATTCAGTTTGATCTCTTTATCATCTTCATCCTTTTAGAAAAAGTCTAAAAGTATTAAAATAAGATTTAAGCAGAATTTCAGCCTTTGGTTTATGACAATAATCAATAATATGATCACCACTATTGAACACATCCTAAGAATCTATGTTGGATCGGGACGTGTGGTTGACAACAGAAACACTGCATCGATGAGCTATTGAACGCAGCATGCTGCGGAGCAGATCACCTTGACAGTATCCAATGGATGCATCATCAGGCCTCCATCATTCTTCAAGGTCAGTTGAAGGAAGGACTTTTAGAAAATGATGCTGGGTCAATGCTAAACATTGGATTAAAGTGGGTTGGCAGGGAACTGTGGTCCAGTATCACACTACAGACGTCCTCAAATGGAGAAAAGGCAGTGTCAGAGTCGTCAGCCAGCAATACAAATGACAGCTCTACAGCAGACAAGGATCTTCTCATCCTGGGCCGTCACATTGCCAGTGTTCCCCAGAGAAACCCCACAGTGAACCATCAGGCAGCAGAAAATGCTCCGAAACTGAACTGAACTTGGGTTATTTTCTCTCTTAATTATGTGTAACATAGCATTGTGTGTTCAAAAATGTAATTCCTTCCTATAGGAGTTAGGGTTATTATTTAATCATATTGCTCTTCTAGACTTTGCAAATGCTATTGGACAGAATGGATCAAAGCCTGATGATAAAAAAGATTCATTTCTGGGGGTTTGTGATGCTCGCAGCTGTTCCTTTTTTCAATGGCTGTGGATGGAAAGGGCAAAATGAAAAATCATTCCAGATATCCATAATGTAATTTTGAATATCCAAAATGCATTATGATTAGTAAAAATGTCATCAAGGATATCCATAATTCATATTATAACTTGTAAAAATACAATTTCTACTATTAGACTTATGGCTAGAAACACTGCGATTGCAGATATCCACAAATGTATTGGACTGACAGGTAGCATTAAACATAAAAAGGGTTTGTTTGTTACGTTTAAGATCTCTATCTTTATCTCCATCTGATTTTAAGATATCTTACAATGAATCTTAAAAAGTGTAAGTGGCCATTTATATATTTAATAGCTAGACTGGATATGTATTGCCAGAGCCGTAGCCAGAAATGTAAAAATAGTGAGGTCATGAGTTTTTGCCCTGTGAGGGAGGTTTGGGGGCATGCTCTGCCTCTCCACTTCATCCACTCTCCACTCCACTACATCTACATAAATATGGGATGGATATCATCATAGTTTTCCTTCTTCACAACTGCAGAACTCTTTAGTGTTTCTCCAACACAGTTTCACTTTCATATTTGTCACTGTTCTCCCAGTGTTTTCCAGGTGTGACACCTCGCAAATGGTGATCTGAAACTTTTGAAAGGGCAAATTTTCATTTAGAAACCTTTAATGCACATTTGCACTCATATTCTAGACTGTTAGTCACAGTTGAGTTTACAAAACCCACTTTTCAGAAATCTGAAAACCCACAGTTGCAAACACGCAGTCTCGTGATTTCTGGTAGTGTTGTGACGCAGCTCTGGTCTAAAACTTTAAAATTCTGAAACAGATAGCAGGATGGCAAAGAAAATAAATAAATAATAAAATAAACCCACAACTATTAGCTTCTGACATCGTCCTTGGTTCCAGAGCCAGTTTATCTCCCACAATCCTCGGGGTGTATTTGTGAGTAAACACTCCGCCTCAGAGCGGCGCCTTTAATGAAGAAAAATGCAGCGTTTCCTTCACAGCCAAAGTTACAGTAAATAATGCACTGTGTGCGTGACAGGACAGCATGTGGATCATTAATTGCAGAGCATCCAGGATGGGTCATCTGCGCCTGCAGGGGCCCCAGGGGGCCACTGTTAATTATAGCCTCCACCCAGGAGGGAAATGATGAAGAGGAAGCTGCTGGAGAGAGAGAGTGTGTGTGTGTCGGGCTGATTGTGTCTCCATGGGCAGGTGTGTATCAGCAGTAGTGTGTTTGTGTGTGTAATGTGTATTCAGCACCTGAGTATATTTTTAGTTACACTTTACATGAAGTGTTGGTTTTACTGTAAATCATCTTCTGTGCATCTTACACCAAGCTAGCAGCTCTGAGCTCACAATTATAGAGCTAACTAGCAGATGTAATTAATTAATTAATTCACTAAACACAATGTACAGCTGAGGCTGATGG